TCTTCTGCCCTTTTCTTAGAACAATGCTTGACTTTGGAATTGGAGCCTACCCGAATCAATCCAGGACAACCATCTCATCTCAGGGCCCCTAAGCTGATCCCACCTGAGTTCAGTGGTTCCGGGGATTACAGAGTGGCTGGAGTGGGACCATTTAACCTATCACAGAGTATAAGCCGACTTAAACTCCCATAGGGAGCCCGGAACAACCGAGAAGAAGAGAGCTCAGGGGAGTGGCCCCAGGGTTTCTAGTTAACAAGCTGTGAACATGAGGTTCATATTTACTTCAAAAACACTTTCTTAAAAGAGTGATAGTTTCCAGAATTTTCCATTTGGATGTCAAAGATAATTTCTGTGATCCATTCTTTACTGGACTATCTTGTACCGCTGACAACACAGGATGTACCAGAACTCCCTGCTTCATGCAGTTATTCTATAGTTAAATGAGTCACGTCTGATAAGACTGTTTATTGCACACTGTATTAATTCACCTTTTTCATAACTGTGACAAAATGTCTGAGGAAGACAAAAGGGTGAGGAAGGGTGTCTTTTGGATGTGGCTTCAGAGTCTGTGGCACTTTGCTCCATTGCTTCTGGGATTGTGCACAGAGAGGCAGGACATCACAGTAGAGGGGAAGTTGTAAACAAAGTGACTTGTCTCACCTCACAAGGGACAGTAGGCAGAGAGACAAGACACAGCAGGAAATGGGTCTCAAGAACACACTCGCACATCCCGAGACACCCACTTGTATGTTTTATTTTTTTACATATTTATTTATTGTGTGTCCATATGTGTGGGTACATTGCCATAGCACACATGTGAAATTCAAAGGACAAGTTGTGGAAGTCAGTTATTTCCTACCTCATGGGTTCTGGGGATCCAACTTGAGTCTTCAGGCTGGCAGCGAGCGCCTTTGCCAGCTAAGCCATCTGGTTGACCCCTATTTGCTGTTGTTGTTAAGGCTTCATCCTTTTTGTTGTTGTTTTGAAACAAGGTCTTACTTCCTAATCCAGGTTGGCCTGGAACTCACGGCAATCCTCCAGCCTTACGATCTCAAGTACTGTCATTACAAGGGTTAGGGGTGCTGCTGCTGTGATGAACACCATGACCAGAAGCACGTTGGGGAGGAAAGGGTTTATTTGACCCACACTTCCATATCACTGTTCATCACTGAAGAAAGTCAGGACAGGAACTCAAACGGGGCAGGAACCAGGAAGCAGGAACTGATGCAGAGGCCGTGGAGGGAGCTGCTCACTGGCTTGCTCAGCCTGTTTTCTTTTCTTGTCTTTCTTTCTTTCTTTCTTTCTTTCTTTCTTTTTTTTTTTGAGACATGGTTTCTCTGTATTGTTTTGGAGGCTGTACTGGAACTCACTCTGTAGACCAGGCTGGCCTCAAACTCACAGGTTGGCATCCCTTGTGCTGGGATTAAAGGCATGCACCACCAACACCCGGCTCAGTCTGTTTTCTTATAGAACTCAGGACCACCAGCCCAGGAACAGCACAGTGGGCTGGGTCCTCCCCATCAATCACTAATGAAGAAAATGCCTTACAGCCTGATCTCATGGAGGTGTTTTCTCAGTTGAGGCTCCCTTCTCTCAGATGACTTTTGCTTGTGTCAAGTTGACATAAAACTATTGCTTCAAAGTTCCTGCCGGTAGAGTTTCTGCTACCTCCCAAATATGCCATCAGACCATCAAATCCATAACTAGATTTTGTCTGTCCCTTCACACCCTAAAGCCCCATCTCTAAATACTGCACTGGGGACAAAATACAGGAGTCTTTTAAGGGGTCATTTCATATTCAAGCCACAACACATAGAATTTCTAATAAAACCTTATTGAAAGAACAATGTATTCCCATAAGAGATTAATCCTTTGGCCCAGCCGTAGGACCCCAGGCCACCCTAGAGCCTTCATCCAGTGACTGATGGAAGCAGAGGCAGACACCCACAGCTAAACACTGGGCTGAACTCCTGGAATCCAGTGAGTGATGAGCCAAGGGGTCAAGACAGTGCTGGTGAAACCCACAGAGACAGCTGACCTGACAAGGGGGAGCTCTTGGACCCCAGACTGATGGCCGAGAGGCCAGCATGGGACTGATCCAGATTCCATGAATGTAGTGTCAGTGAGGAGGCCTCAGAAATCTCTGGGGCCTTGGGTAGTAGATTAGTGTTTACCATGGCGTACGAATGAACTTTGGGAGCCCATTCCATGTAGAGGGAACCTTTCTCAGCCTGGACACATGGGGGAGGGCCTAGGCCCTGCCCCAGATGAAGTGACAGAATCTGGAGATTCCCCCATGGAGGGCCTCACCCTCTCTGGGGAATAGTGTGGGGATTGGGTGGGGGGGCTAGGGGGCTGGTAGAGGGGTAAGGGAGGAGGGGTGGGAGAGGAAGCTGGGATCGACATGTGAAACAAGCTTGTTTCTAATTTAAATAAAAATATATTGAGAAAAAATAAAATGAATCACATCTATAATTACATATGAAATTTTCTAAAAGAATAGATCTTGGGTAGCCTCAGAAAAATAAGGAAAGTTATGAAATGGATAGGCTAATGAGTTGAACTCACAGAAATCCTCCTGCCTCTGCCTCCCCATTGCTGGAATTAAAGGCGTGCACCACCAACGCCCGGTTAGTCTGTGCCCATTTCAGACTAACATGTAGCATGTTTCATGTTCTAAATATATACATTTATCTGTTAACCATCCCTTGACAAACCTGTGGAAATGAAGACTAAAGTGAGGCACGCCTGAATTGGTGTGGAAGAGGCTCACTCAAGACACGGAGTGGCGTGTAAAATGCAAGCGCTTCACCCGTAAGGAAAGGACCCAGATGTGACGCATTTACTGAGTGTTTTAGAGAGATGTCACAGACCTGTAACTGTATTTGCCTTTGATAAAAAGAATGGTGGAATAAAGCGTGGGGAGGGAAGGGAGCTTTCTGTTAGGAATGCTACTGAGTTGCTTGAAGGTACCTTGCTATAGACACAGAGCAAGGTGAGGGATGCAGGAGGCGATGGGGGTGAGAATCTATGAGCTAGTGTAGGGCGTGGACAGGGGATGGGCACAGGGGAGAAGGAAAGAAAAAGCTCTCTCTCTTGGAAACCTGCCACATTCCCAGAGCTTCTATCCCTCTTTATCTTGTAAGCACATTTAATAAGATATATTTTAGACCTCTTTTTCAGATAGCACTATTTATATCTTCATTTTGGTGTCAGAAGCATTTACCCAGCCCCCAAAACTTTAATTTTAATTTATTTTTATGCCCCCTTTTGTTTTTTCTTTTCTGAGACAGTCTTACTATGTAACTCAAGCTGGCCCCTGACTCAACCGTCTTCCTACTTGAGTTTCTTGAGACTGGTATATGTCAGTCTGCTTTCCAATTTTTTAGCTTTGTCTTTTAATACATTTTGTCTTCCTTCAGATAATTCAATGCTTCCCAAACATACCTCTGTGTGTGTGTGTGTGTGAGAGAGAGAGAGACAGAGAGACAGAGAGAGAGACAGAGAGAGAGAGAGAGAATGAGAGAGAGAGAGACAGAGAGACAGAGAGACAGAGACAGAGAGAGACACAGAGACATAGAGACAGAGAGAGAGAGACAGAGAGACATAGAGACAGAGAGAGACATAGAGACAGAGAGAGACAGAGAGACATAGAGACAGAGAGAGAGACATAGAGACAGAGAGAGAGAGACAGAGAGAGACAGACAGAGAGAGAGACATAGAGACAGAGAGAGAGACAGACAGAGAGACATAGACAGAGAGAGACATAGAGACAGAGAGAGACAGAGAGACATAGAGACAGAGAGAGAGACATAGAGACAGAGAGAGAGACATAGAGACAGAGAGAGAGACATAGAGACAGAGAGAGAGAGAGAAAGAGAGAGAGAGAGAAAGAAAGAGAGAGAGAGAGAAAGAGAGAGAGAGAGAGAGAGAGAGAGAGAGAGAGAGAGAGAGAGAGAGAGAGAGAGAGAGAGGCTGTTTATGGTACTGCGCCATCGTCATCTGTGTGTTTTCTAGAGCACAGGGAAACCCCGCCCACTCCACTGCTCTCCTGTGTAACCTCCTCAGCTCAGTCTTCAGTGTTGGAACCTACCCTGTCTTCTGTCTTCGCTCAGAAACCCTGAGCTTTGCTCTGAATTATAGTTCTGTTTCTTAGTTGGCCACTTTCATTAAATTAGCTCTTGTAGGAGCGTATGCATCTTGGTGGTTTGTATGCTCTCCAAGCACCAGAACAGAGCTTTGCCGAGCACATATCATTGGCCACAGAATGTAAATGGAGGAGCCATCTAGGAAAAGCTATGTTTTCTATGATGACCAGTTTCAAGGGAGCCAGAAAATTACATGTAACCAAATATATGAATCCTACTTGACAATGTGGTCCCACAGCTCTGCATTAAATCTGTGCTATCCCAAGCAAGGTAAGCACACGGCATGCAAATGGTTAGGAAGCTACACTTGATGAACACCGCAATAGCACAAGGAAAGAACGCTGATTTCAATGAGAGTAAAGAAAACGCAGCCCTTGCTGCTTGCACCTGTTTGTGTCCCATCCGAACAGAGAGGCCCAGTTAAGAACTGTGCAAGCACTAACTCTGTCTTGGAGTAAGGCATGCGGAAGGCTGGGACTCTCGGCCTCTTGCTGCCCCACCCAGGCTCACAACTATGCAAGGCTCACTGTTGATTAACAGCCACACTGTAAAATCACTGCACTGTCGCTGCTTAGTCTCCTTCCCCTTGGGAGTATTTCCCCTTGTTCCGGGTGCACGGAAGTAGAGGGGTCCTCCTACTAAACGATGTAACTTCCCTGTACCTCAAAGTACTTCATCGTAGTTAACCACAGCTCACCTTCAATGACCAATAGGACCCACTTTTCATGCTTCTAGGAGGCTGATACTCAGTTTGGATCTCCATAAATACAATAGTGTCAGACCTAACCCATCTCTGCTGACCTCTTATGGTGATGTCAATGTGATAAAATGATGAAGTTCACTCCGACTTACTGTGAGTGCAGTTTCATATTCTCCAGCAGCCAAGTGGGCTGAGCCCAGGAAGAGAGCAGCTTCTCCTTCCATGGTCCTGTCACTCCCTGAAGCGAGGATATAAAGAAGTCACCATGGTGCTGGGGGACAGATTCACCACACAGACAAAAATCCTCATCACTCAAGACAATAGACAGTCCCTCTTTTAAAAACTTACACACTTTCCAGTGATCCTTGAAACCAACCTGCATTAAAAAAACAAGCTCTCTCTCTCTCTCTCTCTCTCTCTCTCTCTCTCTCTCTCTCTGTGTGTGTGTGTGTTTGTGTGCGTGAGACTTAAGTAAAATTTATCTGGATCTCAAATGATAGGTGATGATACTTTAGCCATATGATTATAAGGAGTTCCCTCTCTACACACAGTCTAGTATATACTTTCCATACATCATAGAATGTTTACATTACCATGTATAGACCTGCAGTTGTCCAGCATGTCTGTGGCAGCTTGTATGACACAATCAGCAACATTTAGCAGCTTGACTTGTTGCATACTCCTGCCAATCATCTACTCTTCCAATAGAACACATGATTAACAAATTAAGAATGCCTGTCTGATTCAGAATTGCTGGTTCAAGATTATGTATGAACGACTGGTTCCGTGGTACAGAAGTCCACGCACATGTGGAAAAATGCTTCCCTTCACTAGTCATGGTTCTCCTTCCTAATTTCTGTGATGTGTTTATTTCAGCAGTGACTCAGTTCTTTCCAAAGGCAAAAGGTGCAATGTGTGGTTCAGCAGGGTGCGTCATACCACTGATGCTCGCATAGTTTATTTATATTGTTATGGAAATGAAACGTGTAAATTTTATGTATTAGAAACAACCAGTAGAAGTTCTCTTTAACATAAGAACACTATTATTTTCCTGCTTTTAGATGTCATGGGCTTCCACAGTCGCCCATGTCCTGGAAATGCAGACGCTGGCAATCCCTGTTGGCTTAGGCCTCTGCACAGTATCTTCAGGTGTCTGAATCCCAGATTCTAATCAGAAAGGGTTTCGAGCGTTAGCGCTCCTCCTTGCTGTGTTCAGTCTCTCCACTCACCGAGTTACCACTGGTGAGGACGTGAGATGCCAAGGGAAACAGATGGCGGATGCCTCAGACAGTGCCTGCTTTTGTTTTCTAGCTGTTTCACTGGCTACAGAGAACTATGCCACAAGATCTCACCCTTCAGCAGACCTGATAATGTGTGAGCCAGTCTGATGACCTCTAACCTAGAGTCCAGCAGGGTCCTAACATCAGCTTACAGGTGATGGGACGGGGGTGAGTCTGGGAAGGAAACATAAAGCCGAAGAAGGTGGCAGCCGTGGAAACTGCGTCCCTGGGTAAGTAGAAGTTGGTTGTGTGTGGTTTGTATTTGCTGAAATAAATTATTGGTGTTGGAGAGAAAGACAAAAGATTGCATGTTTTCTTCCTATCTGGAATCTAAGTTTAGCAACACACACACACACACACACACACACACACACACACACACACACACACTATGAAAGTAGAAGGGAAAATATTTGGGGGTAAGGATGGGGATCTGTGAGGGGCAGGGAGGGAGGCAGAATAGGGAGCAAATGTAAACAAATAAAATGATGTATGAAAATGTCATAATAAAATGTAAACGGTATAATAATACTATAATGCTATCGATTACCAAGTGTGCTACATCATGGTCATCTGTACCTAACTATGGCAGGGTGGGGGGTGGAGTCACCAAGGAAGAGGAGAGAAAGGGAAATCTTCCCATGATGTCACATTTTGGAGCACAGACATCAGCTTGAAGAACTAGTAGGCCGATAGCATGGTTCTGCAGCAGGGTGCTCCTGTGGGATGCTTGGGTGCCTGCACCTGTCCCTGGCACACTGAATAAATAAGTCAATGAGTAAATAAGTATCAGGTAGCCCTTGGCCATGGCAACCTTTCCTGGTTATTGAGTCTGAACTGTGACAAAGAGACAACAGTGAAATAACAGAAAAATATCAGTAACAACAAAACAGAAGTTGTATCTGCAATTTTGTAGGGTAGGGATGGAGACAGAAAGTGGGCCTGTTTGGTGGGACACGTGGCAGTAAGTGTCCTGGGGGAACACAGCAAGGGAAGGGTTGCCCTGAGGTGAGAGGGCAAAGTAGGTTCTGACTCTGAGTGGGCTTGTTAGGAAGACTGCAGGAAAAGACAGCATCCGCACTTACGTGGAATTAGCATTGTGAAGCAGAAACAATCTGGGAACCTCACAGCTACACGAAAATTAACTGTACTGCTAAGTTATCGCTGGGTAAAAAGAAAGAAACCTTGAGGTGAACTACAAAATGCAGACTACTATGAGATGGATGAGAATGAAAAGGCAGCAAACAGAAAGCCAGATAAAGTAACACACACAGTGATGTTATGGATGTTTGGGGTGTCATTGTTGTGATAAAACACCATGACCAAAAGTAGCTTGGGAGGGGTTTGCCTCAGCATGTACTTTATAGTTCATCAGTGAGGGCAGGAACCAGGAGGCAGGAGCTGGCGCAGAGACCATGGAGGAGTGCTGCTCACTAGCTTGCTCCCATGGCTTGCTCAGTTGTCTCATCCAGGACCACCGGTCCTGTGGTGGCACTGCCCACAGTGAACCGGACCTCCCACATCAACTGTCAGTCAAGAGAATGCCCCACAGAGCTGTCCCCAGACGAGTGCCCCAAGAGCTGTCCCCAGACGAGTGCCCCAAGAGCTGTCCCCAGACGAGTGCCCCAAGAGCTGTCCCCAGACAAGTGCCCCACAGAGCTGTCCCCAGACAAGTGCCCCACAGAGCTGTCCCCAGACAAGTGCCCCACAGAGCTGTCCCCAGACAAGTGCCCCACAGAGCTGTCCCCAGACGAGTGCCCCAAGAGCTGTCCCCAGACGAGTGCCCCAAGAGCTGTCCCCAGACGAGTGCCCCACAGAGCTGTCCCCAGACGAGTGCCCCACAGAGCTGTCCCCAGACGAGTCTGGTGGGGGAATTTTCTCGATTGAGGCTCTCTTCCCAGATGTCCCATGTCAATAGCAACAACATCAAAAGCTAACCAGCACACACTTATCTACACTTAAAAACAAGTAAGTTTCTTCCTGACTAACCAAAGAACAGTGAGCTAAGTGAAATACAAGCAGAAACAAAGAAAAAAAGCAATAGAGAAAAATCAACAACAAAAAACCAAAACATTAGCTACACTGGCCAAGGCATAGAAAGAAAAAAAAAACACTCAAATTCTTACTGTACAATTAAGAATGAAAGAGGGGAAATGATTATAGACCTTGGTAATAAGAGTTATGTGGGTAGGTTTGTAATAACAAGTTACATAAATTAAATTAAAAATATCCTCAAAAAATGCTCTGAAATTAACTCAAAAAGAGGATGAAGAGAAGGAGGAGGAGGAAGAAGAGAAGAAAAAGAAGAAGAAGAAGAGGAAGAGGAAAAAGGAGAAGAAGAAGGAGAAGAAGAAATCTTTGCCATATTGAGCAAAACACTTGAATAGATTGTTACAGAAAACACCCTACAAAGAAAAATCTAGCCCTAGTGCCTTTGGTGGAAAACTGCACCAAACCCTGAAGGAAGAATTATAATCACTTAAAAGCAGACCACAGAAAACATTTCCCAAAACATTCAATGAGGTCAGTGCTTTGAGACAAAGACACCACTGAAGTCCAAACCTATTGATATGGGGGGGGGGGGAGTACACATACAGCGCGCACACACACACACACTGGATTTGATCAAATTTGATCAACATTAAAAACTTGTGCTTTGATGACTACCACCAGAAGGTGGAAGGGAGAAAACACTTTCAAATCAGATATCCGACGAAAAGTTCACATTATGAATATATAAGGAATTTCAACTCAATAACAAATAACACACCTGAAATATGCAATACTCCTCAAAGTATTCCACACAATAGAAGCAGGAGGCTCACTGCCAAACTCTTTTTATGAGGCTACAATTACCTTGATACCCAAGCCACACAAAGACACAACTAAGAAAGAGAACTATAGACCAATTTCCCTCATGAACATTGATGCAAAAATACTCAATAAAATACTAGCAACCCGGATTCAAGAACACATCAGAAAAATCATCCACCATGATCAAGTAGGCTTCATCCCAGGAATGCAGGGATGGTTCAACATTAGAAAATCTATCAATGTAATCCACCATATAAACAAACTGCAAAAGAAAAACCACATGATCATCTCACTAGATGCTGAAAAAGCCTTTGACAAAATCCAGCACCCCTTCATGATAAAGGTCCTAGAGAGATCAGGGATAACAGGAACATACCTGAATATAATAAAAGCAATATACAGTAAACCAACAGCTAACATCAAACTAAATGGAGAGAAACTCAAAGCAATTCCTCTAAAATCAGGAACAAGGCAAGGCTGTCCACTCTCTCCATATCTCTTCAATATTGTACTTGAAGTCCTAGCTACAGCAATAAGACAACAAAAGGAGATAAAGGGGATACAAATAGGAAAAGAAGTCACGTAGATGATATGATAGTTTACATAAGTAACCCGAAAAACTCCGCAAGGGAACTCTTAGAGCTGATAAACACCTTCAGCAAAGTGGCAGGATACAAGGTAAGCTAAAAAAAAAAATCAGTGGCCTTATTACATACAGACGATGAAGTGACTGAGAAAGAAATCAGAGAAACCTCACCCTTTACAATAGCCATAAACAGCATCAAATATCTGGGGATAATGTTAACCAAGGAAGTGAAAGACCTGTATATCAAGAACTTTGAGTCTTTAAAGAAAGAAATCAAAGAGGATACCAGAAAATGGAAAGATCTCCTATGCTCTTGGATTGGTAGGATCAACATAATAAAAATGTCTTGCCAAAAGCAGTCTACAGATTCAATGCAATCCCTATCAAAATTCCGGCACAATTCTTCATAGATCTGGAAAGAACATTACTCAACTTTATATGGAAAAAACAAAAGGCCCAGGATAGCCAAAACAACCCTATACAAAAAAGGAAATTCAGGAGGCATCACCATATCTGACTTCAAGCTCTATTATAGAGCTATAGTCCTGAAAACAGCTTGGTATTGTCACAAAAATAGGCAGGTAGACCAATGGAACTGAATTGAAAACCCTGATTTTAACCCACACACCTATGAACACTTGATTTTTGACAAAGAAGCTAAAACTATACAATGGAAAAAAGAAAGCATCTTCAACAAATGGTGCTGGCATAACTGGGTACTGGTATGCAGAAGACTGCAGATAGATCCATGTTTATCGCCTTGTGCAAAACTTAAGTCCAAATGGATCAAAGATCTCAACATAAATCCAGCCACACTGAAAGAGAAAGTGGGAGATACTCTTCAATGAATTGGTACAGGAGACCACTTCCTGAACATAACTCCAGTGGCACAGACACTGAGATTGACAATTAACAAATGGGACCTCATGAAACTAAAAAGCTTCTGTAATGCAAAGGACACAGTCAACAAGACAAAAAGGCAGTCAACACAATGGGAAAAGATATTCACTAACCCCACATCTGGCAGAGGGCTAATCTCCAAAATTTACAAAGAACTCAAGAAGCAAGTCTCCAAAACACCAAAGGATCCAATTAAAAGGTGGAGTACAGAACTAAACAGAGAATTCTTAATAGAGGAGGCTAAAATGGCCAAGAGACACTTAAAGTGGTGGGGGATGCGGAGGAGGGGAGGGAGAGGGAACTGGGATTGACATGTAAAACAAGCTATTTAGAATTAAAATTAAAAAGGAAATATGCAAAGATGGTGGAAATGGTCAGTGACATCACTTTGCAAGTCAGATCTCCCCAGAAAATAAGCATGGAGTTACCGCGTAACCCAACAATCCTTCTAGGTGTGGACCGAAGAGAGTTCAAATGTACACATAGCTCCACCGTGGCAGTCAGACAGCTCACATGCCCGTCAAATGAGGAGCAGGTAAATAAAACACGAGGAAACCACACAGCGTAGTGTCACCTGGTGCGTGTATGAAGGAAGGAAGCCATGATGCATACTGCCAGTTGAATACTCCTTAAAGTGCCATGGTTCCTGGATGCTGTCGGGCTGGTGCTCAGCTTACATGTTGCACCATGGTGCCCTGGAGAAGGATCCGAGCCTAATGGATGCCACCATCTCTTAAATACTTTCTAAAGCCAATGTGGGAGCCATGTACTTCCTGACTACTCATTGCTTTTTCTATGTACTATTAGCACCACACAGAAAATGCAAACTTAAAGTGTAATACCTTCTCTGAGTGTACATGCCTATCCACTGTATAACTTTCTGTGTGATCAAAATTTGCTGTTGACATTGATCCAAGTGCTAAGGATTTATGTCTCCTTTACTGCCCCTCCCAGAAGACATGGGCAGAAGCAGTCAATTTGATGGAATTTATCTTTCAGTGATAAAAGAGTTCCTTTAAATATTTCAACTAAAGTTATTTAAAAAATAGCAGAAAAATGAGCTCAAATGTTTACTTTTCCTCTATAGTAAATTAAAATCAAACCCCAGACCGGTCCTATTTACCCCAAACAAGACACCAGCTACCTAGCAAATGAATCCACTAACTATGTTCATGAATCAATAAACTTAAGTTCAAGACCGCAACTCCCTTTTCCCCTCCATGGAAAAACTACTCTGTTAGAAAATTACTGTATGATGGTGAGGAAAGGGGTATTTTTTCTTTGCATGTTATGAATTAAAAGTTCATAAGAATATGCACCATTTTCATTATGTTTTATACCGATGAAGATGCTGTGAGACATTAAGGGTATGAGCAGCTTTCCCAAAAGCATTTTCCTGCTGAAAGTGTGGATGAGCTCCTGTGGGCATCCTGCCAGCCTGCAGACTCTGATGCTAGCAGTTTGGGTGGGGCAGAGTGTGACTTTCACGGCGTGCCTCCTGGTGATGTTGGCAATGCCGGTCTAAAGGCCGAGCTTTGAGAGGGCAGAGGTCTAAAGCATATTGCAGTGCTATTTCCTTGTTACTTCTAACTAAACATTTAGCACAATTTCCCAAGTATCTGCCTACAGGGAATTTATAAACAATAAGGGGTTTCTCAGGTTGTAAAAAAATACACAACCTACACACAACACACACACACACACACACTCTTGCAGATGACCTTATCTCCTCTTTGTGGGTTCCTTGTTTTACAACAGTACCCCCAGTGGATTGTAATTTTGGAAATAAAGCTTTCAAGAAACTAATGGATTTCTCATTGTCAGCACTAGCCTTACAGCGAAATCTGAAAGCATATTGATGGCATTTGTCTTTGCATTTCATAGGAGATAATTACCCTAACACTTGACAATTTTTACTCCTCCCTTGGGAGAGCCAGTGTCTGTCCATTAAAGAAAACAGTGCAAGAGGACTCTCCACCCACCTTCCTTGGCTATGTCAGAAGCTTTCATTAGAATCTTGATGGCCTGTTTGTAGTCTTTGTTTTCCAGCATTCTGTCTGAGAGCAATCTGTAGATCCTCACGAGGCTTTCACAGGCCAGCAGGTTGAGAAGTTGACCTGTCTCGTCCTTCCATATCCGCCCCTGCGTCAGTTCATGGAACGCTTCATAATGCTGGGCGGCTTCCAGAAGCTCACCTGAAGGAGAAAAGCCATTCATAAATATAGAGCACAGGCCAGAAACAACTTGTTTTCTATAATTTGCATGTGTGTTAGCATCACTCACACATGGGGAGAGATGTGGTTGATAAGCGTGTCCTCAAAGGAGGTGAAGTAGAAAAGGATCTCTGTCTAATGGGACCTCGGATGCTGCTTAGACATCTCTGAGAGTGGGTGGGACCTCAGCCAGTAGAAATGACTGCCATTGTGCAAGTTCAGAGACAGCGCGAGGCCCACCAACGGTTGCGAGACTCATTACGCTGGCTGGTGTCTCTAGAACAGTTTGATGGCATGGAATTCATGTGGCTCCATCTTACAGAAGGGACAGTAGAGGCTCAGCTCAACATTGTGTGCTCAGAGGGTGCAGAGCTGTGAAGACCTTCAGAGGGTGTGCTTGCCACCATTATCCTCATTGCTGTCCTGAGATGACAGCTGCCTCTCCCTCAGGGGGCATCTAGGTGTCACGAGAAGAATGCACCAGCTACATATTTCAGGGTTTTAAACCTGCTTCCAGGAGGCTGAAGGAGGCGCCTCTGTGGTCTGCCTAGTCCGGGATGACACCAACCTTGTTGAGTTCTTGCTCTAGAGTGTATCTTATCAGCCGTTCCCAAATATCTCTTCTCAAATCCCAAACTCTAAATTAGCCTTAAAACATTTCATTCCTAAATGTGAGGCAGTGTATTTCTGGGAGAGCGGTTTGCAGTTCCACACTGCAGACTGTAGTTTACATGCTACTCGCCTTGGGGAACACTTCTGGTCTCCGACAGCAGAAGTGTTCTACTTTGGCAGCAGTAGTGTGAGCCCGCCCATCGTAACTAGCCAAACTCACCTAGGCATTTCAACTGTAGGGATTAAAAGTGAGTAAAAGTTTCAAGCAGACGGACTGCTCATTTCTGTCTTGTTCGTTTTTCGGTTGCTTGTTTGTGTAGGCTAATTACTGACCCCTCTGTGCGGTAGTTTACTATTCTGTGAAACAGGCTTGTAGTGAAGCCACTCAGAATTAATTAGTGCACATTTAGTTGGTGTAAAATATCGGAAGTGGTATCAGTTGGCATTTCTATAATAACTAATAATCAGTTACAAAATAGTCACTATATATATACTTGAATTCAGCTTATCCTTAAAAATATAAGAATTAGTCCTTCTAACAGTATTACCATGAGAGTTTAAATAAACCCTCACAGTTCATACTATGAGCACTACATTTCCATAAGTTGCTTCATTGACTGGTGTAGCCAGGGATGGTGCTGCCCTTACTATTTATATGATCTGTCGACATCCGTTATACTGCGTTTGTTATTGAGACTACTGTTGGTGAATACACAACCCGGCTAGGAGTGCTGGCACACACCTGTGTAACCCCAGCACTCGGGAAACTGGTGTGAGAGTTCCGGGATTATACATGGAAGACTATTTTAGGTGGCGCGGTAAGACAGGCTCTCAAAAAATACATAGAAAGTAAGAGTGATATTTCCAAAGAAAGGTAAACAAAGTGGGGAGTCACTAGCAGGTGAGTGGTAACACGATACGGTAAATTCATAGCCAGTATGAGTTCTTACCAATGCAGGGGTGGGGAGTAAATGAAGATACTTATCCATGAGGCAAGGAGTCCTGCGGAGTTGTTTAGAAACCCATCCTACAGCTTTGGAAAGGAGGAGAGCACACAGCATGAATTGATATTGCTGAAGAATACTTCATTTCATAGGCTTTGCAATGAATGAAAGTATCAGAAAACATCCATAAAGCACTCTCTCTGGGAGAAGGGATATGGTCATAGGCAGTTTCATTTTTTATTTTTTTTAACTTTTCTTCCTGCGTATTGGCATTTTTGAGAATTTCTGTCATCAAAATGTTTATTTTGTACTAAGAAATGCACAAAAGAAGTCATTTAAAAATAATGCCTGATCTCTTCTCACTTTAGTACAGATGTAGACAGTGGGAACTGACTATTCAATCTGTCTTTGCTTGCAACAGATGGTTTTTATACCCTCCTGTAAAGGCCAGTGCAGCAGATGGTTTTTATACCCTCCTGTAAAGGCCAGTGCAGCAGATGGTTTTTATACCCTCCTGTAAAGGCCAGTGCAACTTTCCATTGATGCTTGTAGCACCTCTCATCAAGAAACACCTTCCTCAAATATCCATAACCTTCATTTTGGAACTTCGGTGGAGCCCTGGTGTTTGTGTGTGTGTGTGTGTGTGTGTGTGTGTGTGCGTGTGTGTGTCCTTCTGTTAACTATATTTCTGCCTACAAAGCATAGCATCGTCACTCTGCAGAGATGTGCACAAAAGCTCATTTTCTTCTCCAGCATCCATCTAGTCATAAAGTGGAGATACATTTTTCTTCTGGACCATGTGAATAGGGAATAGTGGATTCAGGAAGCTGAGAAAATCGGGGAGTTCCAGGAAGAAAAAAAAGAAGGAACCATGAAATAGATGGTGCTCTTGATAACAAAATTAATGTAAGTTAGATGTAAATGAGGTATAATGGTTCAAACAGTAAGTACAAGGTGATATCCTTGTCCAAATTTGGAGACAGCCAGGGAGAGGAGAAGGTTGTGGAGGTGAATCCCAGCGTGGGAAGGGTCAGGAAGGGCAGAGGCAGTGTCTCTGTGTTCCCTCCTTGCTACCAAGTCTTGAGGGTTGTTAGGTTTTCTGCATAGACTCAGATATGTAAGGAGGGGTAAAGTTTGGCAGGCTTTTGGGGGTACTGTTCACTACGAAAGATCATCTTGGAGTAATCAGAAATGGTCTTTTTTTGTATGAGTTTGGTGTTTTCTAGATCTTTGGGGTTAGTATCAGTGGATTGCCTAGTTCAAGACTGTCTGTGACTACTTCACCAGACACAGCACCACAAAGTCTCAGAAACTTCAAATTACCTCACTTGCCTCACTTAAATTGCAGGCATATGTCTCATGATAAAAGCAAGGCTTGAGGTATTGCACCCTGGTCTCTCCAGGCCTATGATATATATTGTCATCGGACCTGGCTGTCCCTGCAACTATTAACAAAAAGGAAGTGCCAACCCATCATGTGCCTCTCATTGGTCTTCCTGAATACCTAAGTTCACAATCATCTCCATTAAAACTCTTTTCTCCTCAACCGTGTGGGGATTCCTCAGAGACACTTTGAATTCTTTGGATGTCCCAAATGTGGTGACTTCAGCCAACCAGTCATGACTTCAGTTACACCTGTCACCACTTTGCCACTGACGAGGTTGTTCTCTGGGTTCTGATCAGCACTGTTTACAGACAAGGGCTTGCATAGAAGGAGAGTTTCCTGTCCTTCTCAAAGGCCAGGTTTCAGTCCTCAAATTTCTTAATGGAAGTAAATACGGCAGTAAGGACTTTATACAAAGGGCCACAGGTACAGACAGCTCCGCCACAATGTCTAAAAGCTGGTCAGAGCTTGAAGTACACATTATAATTCATTCTGTACTTGACTTAGAATAGTAAAAGATATGCCTATGCCACAATAAGAGTACAGTAACTTAAATGCAGTGTCCTCTTGAAGCAGGATCAGCAATAGTATGGTTTCTGTCCAATCTATCTCCAACAGCAATAAGGATCTTAGTAAATATTTTACGTGATGAATAAGTGTTCTGATGCCAGTCGAATAGGTATCTAGTGAAACATAATGCATACTTCTTTTATCTGAAAACTTTCATAATATTGCTAAAGTTTTGAAAAAGGCCATAAACAAAACTCACTGTTACCAAGCTAAGTGTAAGTACCAATGAAGATAATAAGCCAGCGTTTTAGTTACTTTCCTTTACCGTGATAAACACCATGACCTAGGCAACTTAGAGAAGAAGGGGTTTACTTGGGTTTATGGTTCCGGAGGGCGAGAGTTCCTGATGGTGGCGTGCAGGCAGCCAGTGGCAGGCGTGGTGGCTACAGCAGCACGTTCACGCCTTGGACCTCAAGCCTGGAGCAGGGAAGCTGCAGGATAATTGATTACACTGTGTAAAAAGATGGTCACTGCAACTGGTTTAATAAAAAGCTAGCAGGACTTTAGCTAGGCAGAGGGTATAGGTGGGACTTCTGGACAGACAGGGTTCTAGGAGGAAGAGAGGAGTAGTCACCAGCAGGATGCGGAGGAAGCAGGACATGCTGGAAGAGAGGTGAAAGCCATGAGCTTTGTGTCAGCATGGAGAGTAATAGAAATGGGTTAATTTAAGTTACAAGAGCTAGTTAGAAACACACCTAAGCTAAAGGCGAGCTTTCATAACTACTAAGAAGGCTCCATGTCATTATTTGGGAGCTGGCTGGCAGGACAGAAACTAGAAATGGCCTGAGTCTTTAAACTGTCAAAGATCCTCCTCCAGTGACACTTCCTCCAACAAACCCACACTGCCAAAAAGATCCCAAACAGTACTGTTAACTGATAGATTCAGAGTGAGTGATGTGAGCGTCTGAGGCCAGGCATCCTCTGCCATTCTCAAGTGTGGGCATGATTTTCCATCAAGGAGCAGGAGCAGGAGCGGAGGGAGGGGGAACCTGAGAGGAGGGGAGGTTTGATCATGTGGGCAGCAGGACCATTAGCAAATCATCAGCTCTGTAACATCAGGGTAGCAGTCAGTACTGCCAGGCTGCTGTATGCCTGCAGGGCAAAGCTCTACGTCATGAAATGGGCCACGCTCCTTCATGTGAGTCAGGGAAGAAAGCAGGCCAAACTGTGTCATTGGAGGAATGAAAGACAGCCCTTTATGGATACTACTAGAGGTCCATTTATTTCCAAACCATGAAATAGCATTGCAAAACACATCTTAGGTGAATGGTGGGAACAACTGTGTAGAACAGGAGTATCTAGGTAGAGACAGAAGGTGGTCCAAGCCTCCTCCATTTTATTTCATTCCGCTTTTAACAATTAAATGACATCTACATAAGCAATAAAGACTTGGGCATGCATTTACAGTTTCTCACCTCAAGCAAAGTGTGCTCCTAAAATAAACACACTCATTGTATCTAAGGCCCACATGA